GAATGAATGGAAATCCAAAATCTCTGTAAATGCTCATTAAAATTATTTTAAAAAATTAAAAAATTCAAAAAAATTTGTAAGATTACATGTAAATTAGAAAGAGTATAGACTTCTTTCCCCCCTTATGCTATGTTTCAGTTGAATTTTGATGCATCTCAGTATGAGGCCCACTACACAAATCCATATGTAGAATGCGTATTACAAGGATAAAAACATTACTATTTTCATTAGACAGTCATCCCAGGGTCTACATCTGTTTCACTGATGACCAGATCTACGAATGACTAGTATAATAAAAGCAATTGATACACAACTGGCAAATGAATGAGTAAAGATTATACATTTTTCCCTTTCCAAGTGCTAGGTATACTGACAATATCTTCACATTTATTACATTTCAAGACAGAATGCAAACTTAAAAGTCAGGTAGTAGAAAGATTACTAAGTGGAGGGACTCATAACTTGCCAAAGGTGGCCTTGACTTTGAATTCTTGCAAATAACAGGAGGGGGGAGTAGTGAGTTGCCTGAACACCGTGACCTCCAGAGTTTCAAAGACTTTCAAGTTTATTTTCTGATAAGCAAAAACAGTTTCAAGAAGTAGCATGCCCAGTGAACACAGGAATGCTAGAAAAACAAACAATGAAGGGCACACACAAAGCAATGAGTAGTTGACATTTAAATACACTTAGGTTTTTACATAAAAATTTTTAAAATTCATCATTCAACATTGGTTTTCAGATTAACAGTTGTACTAAAACAGTTTTACAAAGTTAATTTTTCTTAACATTGCATTTGACTATTACTCTAACCCTTTAAAGTCTATAAAAATAATATTTCAACTTTTTTTAAAAAGTAGAGGCACTTTTCCTAAGTGACATGTTAACTTGGGACCTGTAATATGTAAATCAGAAAGTGAAGCTTTGTAGGTAGTCCCTTCTATTAAAACTATTAGGGCCTAAGACAGAGGTGAGAGCCATGGAATTATTAACAACAAACACTATGTAAGATTTCCATGATAAAGAAAAACTGGGAAGTTAGTTCAGTAGCCAATATATTAGAAATCTCTGGTTTCTCACAAGCTGCCTTATCGTCAGTTTCATCATCTTAAGAAACTCTTTGCACATTCACTGTTGGTTTTCTTTTTAGATACATTAAGTCAGTTCTGACTGATGGATCTCTATGTCCAAGACATCATGCTGGGAGAGGAAGGTCAGGGAAAGCGAGGAAGCCCCTCAACAAGATGGATCGACATGCTGACCACTACAACAGACTTGAGTATGAGAGACCATGGGGAGGATACAGCAAGGTTCAGGTCTGCTGTTCATCGGGTCACTATGAGGTCAGCTCAATGGCACCCAACAACATGTACAACAGAATGAAACCCTGCCAGTCCCCACAATCTTGGCTGTGTCTCTTGCAGTCTCTGGGCTCATCTAGTTACTTGAAAGTCCTCCTCTTGCTGACACTCGACCAAATACGATGTTTTCAAGGCAGGTCCTTCTGCAAACAGATTTAAAGTGAAATGAAGCCGTGTGTCCTTGCTTCTAAGGAGAATTCTGGTTATGCTTTTCTTGTGAGATAATTTTTATTTGTTCGTCTGGCACTCCATGATTATATTCAATCTTCTTCACCAACATTATAATTTAAATGCATCAATTCTTCAGTCTTCCTTAGTTATTGTCTGACTTTGGCATTCATATGCGGTTAATGAAAATATCACAGCATCAATCAGGTACACCTCAGTCCTCAAAGTGCTTCTCTTCTAGAATGGCAGCCAGAGGAGGTGAAAATGGAAATTCTACACATGGGAAGTCATCTACAAATACATGCTGTTGAGTAGGATTGGAGGATGATTCTTAATATTTTATTAAGCAGTCTGTTGTTCATACAAATCAAAGGAGAATGTTTCTTATAAATAAAGCCCCATGCCTTGATAATTCTTGAGAAAATGAAACATCCCAGTAAATCATAGGACATCTTAAGTAAATGAAATGTTCTGTGGTCTTAGGACACATGTACAATGAGATAGAAAAGAATAACTCCATCTAAACCTCCTTCTACACACATGTAGTGATGAGTTTGGGCTACGTGAACAATGACAATGACTGAAAAGAGGGAGGCTACTAGCCTCCAGTAGTTCAGAACCATGGGGAAGCAGCTGCCTCAGGTACATGTGGTGAGAGAGTAACCACCACAGAAAACAAGGTCAGGAGCACACATATTTTTGTGATTGGCTAGCAGAGTTTGCTCATTAAGGACCTTCTTGAGACTCATTTTATGTAGCTGACTCATTTTGGAAACACCTCTGTAGATTTCACTAACTCCAAGAAGCCCCAGAGGCACCACCTCAGCTGTGAACCAAAAGGCTGGCTGTTGGAACCTACCAGAGATTTCATGGGAATAAAGACCTGCTTAACTTCTCTTTTAAAGATTACAGTGTAGGAAACCCTGCCAGGCATCCTTACTCCAGTGAGAGGGTCACATCACAAAGGCACACAACAATAAAATGCTTATATGTGCAGATCCCATTCTAAGTGCTTTGCAAATAACTCCTTTCATCCTCATAACCACCTCGTGAGGTAGGTACTATTAGTCCTATTTCAGAGATGAGGAAACAGGCACAGAGAAATTAAACAACTTATTCATGATCTCAAAGCTTGTAAATAGTGATCTTGGATTCAATCACTTTTCAAGGGAAAACAAATGACACCTTTGCCTAGGAAGAGAAATCTGTTCTAAAAAATCCTAGGAATTCACCTGAGTTAAAAACTGAATAAGCAGCACCAGTATTGACAGGACATTTTTTGGTCACATCACAAGGATCTGATCTCGAAATCATTTCAAAGGATACCACATTTGAACAAGATAGATACATATAAAATTGTGTAGAAACAAATATAGAACTCTTTCATTGGGAGTAAAAGTCTCAGTAAATTTGCATCTGTTTTGAAATGTTTGCATGAAACCATATTGCTTAGCATCATATGCAGGTGACATCAACCAGAAGCTAACTGGTATATTTACATAAAGGAATTGTTTCTGTATCACAGAGACTAGTATAAAAAAACAACAACAAAAAAGCAGTAAATAAATATCAAATTTGCCATAAAAAAGTGGTTACAAATAAGTAAGGTTTAGGGATAACCTTGTACATCCCAATTCATTACTTTATCATATTCTTGAATTCTTTGCTTTATGTGAGAAAGTTTATTCTTTAGGTAATCACAGCGTTCTTTTTTTTCCAGAAATGTAGGATTCTGTAAAAGAAACAGAGCCATTACTTCAGCTGCTGACATCCTCAGCTTGTACTATCACCCACAAAATGACCCTGTCGAGTGATTTACTCACTGCAGATTTTAAAAACCATTTTTTTAAATTCAACTACATTTTTTCTACTAGTTTATTTACAAAATTCAGGTACAAATTCAAACAAGTTCTTTCAATTTCCCTGAACCTCCCACCCATCAAATTGTACAACCCAATGATTAATGCCCCCTTCCCCCTGCACATCCTCATCTCTCTGCTTCCACTCTCTCCCACCCCTCTTGGATCCTTATACTCAGTCTACAATAATGGTTTTATACAATATTTATCCTTGTGGGACTGAGTTAATTCACTCAGTATAATGCTCTCCAGTCCCTCCCACGTTAGGTAATAATTTACAAAATCATTGCTCCTGCATGCTGCATAGTGTGTGAATGTACCATAATTTCCCAGTCCATTTGTTCGTGGTTTAACTGGTTTAATAGGCACAGTAAAGAGGTAAGGATAAGTACTGAAAAAGTTTAGAAAAACACTCCTATTCTGAGTCCAATTTTGAGATCAAGTTAAGGATGGAGTCAGAGAGATCTAGAATGATAATAATTCTTTTGTTTTCTTTCTCTTTGTGTTTTCCCCCCTTATGACAACATTGTGGAAGGCAGTGTAGGGTGGGGAGTTCCCTATCAGTGCTCATCTTCCCAGGCAGCTCAGTGAAGACAGAGAAGAGAGGGACACACAGCATTCATTCACTCATTTCCCATAACAAGTTATTTCCTAAGAAATAAAAACAGAACAGAGGCGGGAAGGAAAAATAAAGAAACAGGAAAGGTAAAAGAGTCTATTACGTATCACCCTGCACCTGGAACAGAGCACACTTTGAAGAAGAAAATGGTTTTACTCACATTCTTCTTTTTCTTAAACTCTTCATGGACTCTGGCAATTCTCTCATGTTCCTAAAAATGGAGTATGTTTATCAATGAATTATGACACTTGGCATTTGCTTACATTATGTCTCAAGGAGATCTTAAAGCATACTAGAAATTAGAATAGACAACAGTCTTCAAACAGTGCTTAAATGAAAATATTCATACATAAAAACTCAGTGCAAAGGACAAATATCAGAGGGTTTACAATCTGCCAGACACAGGAGATCAGGGTAAACAACAGAAAGGTCCCTGCTGGCAGATAAGAGACCCAGGTCCCAGCAATGCTCACCTACTAGGCTGACCTGGACAAGCAAGATAGCTTCCCTAAGCCTCAGTTTACACACAAGCAAAAAAGAAATAGGAACCACACAAAGCTTTGTAACAAAGCTTACTTATATAAAAGATCATTATATAGGCGAGCTCTGGTGGCCTAGTGGCAAGAAGCTGCCAACTGTAATCTCAGAGATGCACGGTTCAAATCCACCAGATGCTCTGCTGAAGAAGGAGGAACAATCTCCTCCTGTACCTCTCAGATCTGATTTGACGGTACACACAAAAAATAATGAAATAAAATAAATTTTTTTTAAAAAAGATCATTATAAAATACTTGACATAATGATCATGATTAAGGAACATTTTCTCATCTCTTTCAGAAAGTTCCTTTTCAAGTTACTAGATGTTGGAATTAAGAGGTAGAGACTATTCAACTTCTGAAAAAAGGGAATAAAAGGTTTCTCCTAATTTTATTATCAATTTATCCCACTGCTGTCGAGATGGAACCCAGTCATTGCTGGCCCTCCCGGAAACTGTCCGTCTCTCTCCTATGGAGCACCTGGTCAGGCACCTGGTCAGTTTAAAGTGCCTGCCTTTGTGCTGGCAGCACAACTCCTGAACTACTGTCGTTGTTAGATGACACTGAACCATGTATGACTCATAGCAACCGTATAAACAGCCATTCTGAACCCTGCCCTATTCCGTGCCATCCTCAGCATCTCTGACACACTAGAGCCCATTGCTGATGTCACAGCATCAAGCCATCTCATTGGACGTCTTCCTCTCCTTCACTGATACTCCATGTTTCCAAACAGAATATCCCTTCCCAAGGAATAGCCTCCATAGCTACATGTCCAAAGTATGAAAGATGAAGCCTGGCATCTTTTTCACTGCTGTATGCTTTCCAGGATGTGTCTGTTTTGTTTTTTGGTAGTCTATGGGTTATGCAGGGAGCTCTGGTGGCCTAATGGCAAGAAGCTGTGCTGCAATCCCAAAGGCACACGGTTCTAATCCACCAGCTGCAATGTGGAAGAAGGATGGGCAATCTCCTCCCATTAAATTAAGTGCCTCTGAAAATCCGCTGGAGGGTCAGGTAGGGGTCAGTTCCAACTCTATGGTACACAGCATGGACTATTCCGTTTTCTCCTCCAGTGCCACAATACAAAGGCATCTATTATTCTTCTGGCATCCATATTCATTATCCAGTGACTGAAAAGAACATGGCCTGAATCAGGTGCACCTTAGTCTTCAAACTGACACCACTGCTCTTTAGTATTCTGGAGTGGTCCCTGACTACAGTCATGCCCTTTGTAATACATCTCCTGATTTCCTGACTGCTGGTACTAAGGGTTGTGATTGCTAATCCAAGCAAGATGAAGTAATTTTCAGCTTCAATCATTTTTCCATCTAGGGTAATGGTGACTATTGGGCCTGTGGTGAGGATCTCTGTCTACTTGATGTTGAGATGTAATCCATACCAAAGGCTGTTTTCCTTGACCTTCTACAGCAAGTGTTTCATATCCTCTTCACTTTCAGCAAGCTGGTTTGTGTCATCAGCATAAGGCATGCTGTTGATGAGTCATCCTCCAATCCTGATCCCACATTTCTCTTCAGAGTCTAGCTTCGTGAAGAATTTGCTCAACATACAGACTGAATAGGTATGGAGAAAGTATACAACCTTGACACACACCCTTCCTGATCTTAAACCAAGCAGTGTTCTCTTGTTCTGTTCCCACAACAGCCTAGGTACACGGGGTAGGTCTACGTCTTGGACTAGATTCCTCATGAGCACAATTAAAGGTTCTGAGATTCTCCTTGTGAGCCATAATCTTTTATGATCCACAAAATGAAACACACCTTTGCATAGTCGATAAAACACAAATAGACACTGATTTCTGAGGGGCTGTTCAGTCTGTACAAAAGAGATGACTAGGCAATGCAAACGTAATAAAAAAATAAAACTAAAATCTATAGTCTTAAAAAGCTCCCTCCCCGCCTCTCCTACCCGGCTGGGAACATTCTCCATTACTTACTTTCTCTTCCCAATATATTTTAGTTATTTACTATCTTTTATAGGGAACTCTGGTGGCTGAGTGCTAAGAAGTTGCACTGCAATCTTGAAAGCACATTATTCAAGTCCGCCAGCTGTTCCTTGGGAGGAAGACGGGCAATCTCTTATTGCTTCTGAAAACCTGCTGGAGGTTTGGTTCCAATGCAATGGTACTCAACAACAACAACTGCATCTTTTAAATACTAAGATCAGGAGTAATAGTTGTGTTTTGATTGCTTCTGAACAATGAAGATGAAACATAATCCCACTGTCATTTCTATTAATAGGTTCCAAGCTGGGAAGAGACTAACTGCCTGGGGCGAGGGGTGCTGTGCTTCAGAATTACATGGAGACACAACTGTCGAGTCAGAACTGACTGAAAGCTGACCCTCCACTGACTGGGGTTCAGAGGCTGAAAGTCATGCAGGAGAAGAATGCCCATCTCTTCCCCTCAGAGCCACTGGCATGCCTTTGGGTTAGCAGTGTAACTCCCTAAGAACAAGGCCATCCGAGTTCCCTACAAACAAAACTCAATGCTGGCAAGCTGGAACTGACTCACTCCGGACCCTCCAGAGGGTTTTCAGAGGCTCTAAGCCATATGGGAGGAAAATGCCCATCTCTCCTCCTTGGAGAAGCTGGGAGATTTGAATTGCCTGCCTTTGGACTGGCAGCACAGCTTCTCACCTACTGGGGCACTGAGCTCTTTGGATGGAAGTTAGAGCTGTAATGTCTAGAACTTGTACTATAGACAGAATTAAAGAGGTGGTGAGGACCAGTGAGGTTATTTTGGACAATACTCTCATTTTATGTCATGTAACTGATGTTTTTTAGTAAAATTGTTAAAAAGATTTCTTAATTGAGTAAAGGAATTATTTTCTTTTCAAATGGCACATACTAGCTTTATACAACCTGTGTTCTTCCTAACATATCTATATATATATAACATAGCTAACATATATATATAACATATCTAAGATAGTTCCTTAGGGAAATGTTGGGAAAATGAACCAGCCTTGCCAACAGACTTCTGTCCAATGAGACATTAACTCATAATAATATTTGTAATAATATTAGTATTTCTACATTAGAAAAGGACTGGAGGAGACACCAATAATAAAGATGGGTCTGTCACTTTGGCTCCTTCCTGGGCACACTGCTAAAAATCAGTGGAAGTGTCTATTGTTAGCCTGTGCAAGTATTATAGGAAAACTTAAGACTCTCAGCTTCTGTGGCAATCAATTGGCCCCAAGTGCAGACACATATGCCTGGCCTCCCGAGCACTCAAAAAAGCATGACAAGCCAGAGGCCTCCAGATCTGCAGGTGAGAGTCAAGCGTTAGAGCACCCTTTCTTCCAGCCAGACTGCTCTTCCCAGATGCCTGGGGCTGCCTGCTCCTCCCTGAATGGCTCTAAAAGCTTCTAAGCTGCTCAACTTTCTTTGATCTGTGGAGCTTGCTTGCTTTCAAAATGGTCTTCAGTGACCCTCAGCGTTTATCATTTGCTAGATTTCTCCTACTTCCTGATCCTGGGGTCTCTTAGCTGACACTACTTCATCACTTTCACACTGAGAACACAGCACTGCTGTGCATGGTGAGCTTGGCAGAGCTGGATTAAAACAAATTTAAAAGTACATTTAAATTCAGCACTCAAAAGGAAGCACTATGTCAGATGACTGAAAGCAGAGAAGAACTTTGTTTAATTGACTATGCATTCAACTGCATGGATCAAAACAAATGATGGGTAATACTGAGAACAATGAGAAATTCAGGACACTTAATTAAAAGTCAGTTTCACCATGTGAAACTTGTTCATTTACAAAGAAGCATATGTGAGGGTTGTATCATTTTATTATACTTATTTACCCTATATGCTAAGTAAATAACCCAAGAAGCTGCACAGTATGAAGGAGAAAATGGCATCGGGATTTTGGAGGGAGACTCATTAACAACATTTGACAACCAGATGACACAACCACATGTGCTCAGGTGAAAAGGACCTGAAGCACTTACTGATGAAAATCAGTGCCTCCAGTTTGAGATGCACCTCAATATACATACAAAATTGCTCAGAACCAGACTAGTAAGCAACACTGCCATAAACTAAGAAAATAATGATGCTGCCAAAGATTTCATTTTACTTGGACCCACAAATGACACCCAATGAAGTTGCAATGATGTTGCAAAACATCTCTTTAAAAACGTTTATAAGTTAAGTCATTTGGGCAATCTTCTCCTGTGTGATTTACTGCCTCTGCAAACCCATGGGTGCACCAGGTATGGGTCAGCTCTGATTCAAGGGAACATCACAACAACTTTAAGACAAACATAACATTACAGTAAAGAATGAAGTCTCCCATGACTAGGGAGCTCTTGTGGAAGCGTTCAGCTGCTCTAAAGGAAAAATATGGACAGCCTCTTCTCATTATAATTTCTATTCTGATGACGGGTCACTATGAGTCAGAACGGCCTCAGTGGCACTGTGTTTTGAGTTATAAGTACATCTCTACTTTCTCTGGTTTTCCTCTCTGTTAAAATTATGATGGTGACCGGTATGGTCTATATGCCCTGTGGTTCGCATCTGCACCTTCCAGTTCACTTTCCACCCTTAACTCACCCTGCTCTCTGCCCTTTGGATCTGGGATGATAGTTTCTTGGTGTTACTTACTCTTGGAGATGCCTCCCTTACATAACTGTTGTTATATACCATGGAGTAGGAACTGGCTCATAGCTGACCCTCCAGCAAATTTTCAGAGGCAGTATAATGACACAGGAGGAGAATGCCTTTCTGGTGCACTCAAAATAGCAGTGGATTCAAACTACATCCTTCAGGTTGGCAGTGCTGTTCCTTACCACTAGGTCACAAGAGCTCCCTAGGAGATCTATAATCATCTAGTTTGAGTGTGCCATCTGTCCTCATCTGGGATTCTGACCAACTCACTACATTTCTCAAGTATATTTCTGTTTATTTCAATAAGAAAATAAAGTACTGCTTAAAAAGTGAAAGCAAAATACACTATATACTTTAAACTGTAATTCTGACCAGGTAACTTAAAGATGGCAAATTAATTTCCTAGACCCACACAGCAGATGTAGGTTGTGAATTCTCTACGTTTTATAAAAGTCAGCTTTGGTCCTTCCTGTAAAGCTGTGAGCACCTCTACCCAGCTATAGGTACCGACCTGTGGATTCTCTGAATGGTAAGGCAATCGGCTCATCACTGCATCCAGCTCATCAAACTTCCTCAGGATGGCCTGAACTTCTGCAGAGAGCTCTTTGTACTCAGAAAACTGGTCTTGGAACACAGCTTTATAGCGTTCTCGTTCATCATCTGTCTGAATCACAGGGTATTTTCTGAGGGGAAAGAAGAATTAAGTAAAACACTTATAAACACATATATATTTTTAAAAATAAAGCTGAATGGAAATTGCTTAGAAAAACTGAAGCCAGTTTAACTTATTCTCACTAACCATATATTTACTTTAAATTCAACATATTATCTCTCAACTAATAAACAGCTAAATTATAAACTGTTTGAAGCAGAGAGTGCTAACTTGGAGACAAAAGGAAAATGAAAAGTGCTTAAGGAGAGCTCTCAGCCTCCCTCCTTTGCAGGCCCAATGCACTCACGCCACATAGTCCGGCATCACAATGGGCTTGGGAATGTGGCCCGAGGGGATGTGACCACTCCGGAGTTCAGGCCTCAGTTTTGTTTCTTTCAATTTGTGGAAATTAACTTCTGGGTCTTTTTGTCTGTCACAGCTGGTAGGCATTTCATACTATAGTCAAGGAGGAAATAAAAAAAAAATAAAAAAATTAAAAAAGAGGACTGATTCATAAACTGGCAGGAAAAAAGCCCTGAATTTAGTCTTAGAAGAAAACTGGATCTCCTCCAGCCCCTTGTAGAAAAAGCAATTACCATTTTTCTTCAGAATTAACATGCTTTAGAGTCACAAAGTTGTTCTACCTTTAATAGTTAATGAGAATCAGGGAGCTCTGGTGGCTTAGTGGAAAGGAGTTGTGCTGACAACTTGAAGATGTGTGGCTCAAATCCACCAGCTTGGGGAGCTCTGGTGGCCTAGTGGCAAGAAACTGCACTGCAATCCCAGAGGAACACGGTTCAAATCCACCAGATGCTCTGCCGGAGAAGGAGGCGCAATATCCTCCTGTACCAGTCAGATCTGATTTGATGGTACACGCACACAAAATAATAAAAACAAACAAACAAACAAAAAAATCCACCAGCTTCTCTATTGGAGAAAGATGGGCAATCTTCTCCCATGCAATTAACCGCCGCCTCTGAAAACCTACTGAAGAGTCATCTATGTGTTGGTTCCAAATCAATGGCGGTTGTTATGTGTCAAGTCGCTTATGATTCATAACGACCCTATGAACAACAGCCCAAAACTCTGCTCTGTCCTGTGCCAATCGCACTGTCTCTGACACTCCCATCCCCATTATCCCAGTCACTGAATCAAACCACCTCATAGAGGGCCTTCCTTAGAATCATTGCCTCCAAGGAGCCACCCAGTTTAACCCTTTCCAGGATGAATCTGTTTGTTTTCCTAGCAGTCCATGGTACCCTCAATACTATTCTCCAGCACCACAGCTCAAAGGCATCAATTCTCCTGCTATCCTCCTTGGTCACTGTCCAGCTCTCTGATGCATAACAAGTCATTGAAAGACCATGGCTTGTATCAGATGCACCTTAGTCTCCAGAGAGACACCACTGCTCTTCAGTACTTTGGAGAGGTTCCTAACAGCAGATTTTCACATCAGAATACACATTTTTCCCCCATGGCTTTTTTCAGTTTATTGCATGAAAGTGTTACACTAGTCCACGTTAAAAGCTGTGAAGTTTTAAACTTGTGAAAAGGAACAGAAGGGAAATTTTCTACTCATTGCAAGAAAATCTTCACTTAAGTTTCAGTGAGCCACAAGCACTTAAAACCCATGAACCTTCAGCTGGTTGTCCTTAGCCAGTCCAATCTCTATAAGGAACTGGCATATGTTCTTGCGTTGGTCACCCGGTAGCTGAATTACTTCTCCATATTCTGGATGCTCAATTACAGTACCATTGCAGGCAAACTTCTTAAATGCCTTCACAAGTTTCTTTTTATCGTAATCATCAGCGGCGATCCCTTGGACAGTTGTAAGGGTCTTCCTCCTGTTTCTCTGTTGAATTCTTATATGGATATAATCCTCAGTCCCAGAAGGAAGCAGGTCATCACGCTTACTTGCATCAGCAAAGGGGTCGAAAGAGTGGAGGTTCTGGATAGCGGACATATGCTACGATTCCTTTTCCTCGGTGGAAACGGCCTGTGGAAGGCGGTGGCGGGAGAAGGCGGGCAGGGGGGACGGAGTGTCGGGAAGCGAGGGGGCTCGAGGGGGAGGCAGCTGAGTCCTCGGCGGCGGCTCAGTGACTGGGGCCGGAATACACATTTTAATTTCCTGGATACTGGTGCCAAAAATGTTGACTGTGGAGCCAAGCAAACTAAAGCTGTGAACAATCTCAATATCTTC